TCCAAATATTCTACCCTGACAAACAAATTGGGAGAGATTAATACAGCAATAAACCATGAGTTCACAACTGCCTTAACTGACATAGGTGTTACTATGTCTGATAAATCCCACCTTATTTAGAAAACCCCATTCCTCAGAGTAATGAAGAATTAACATGGTGAGTGTATCTAATAAAATAATCTCATGCATAAGTTCAAAGCTGTACCTTAGGGTTCATCGGGTTCCACTACCCCGTCACAGGCTCTAAGTGTGACACACTCAGTAGGTCCCATATGTTTCTAATATGCCCTGGGGTCCCTGTCAATTTTTTGGGCCATGATCTCAACATCCATAATGCCCATATCTCTTTTTCATCAAAAGGTGAACCTTTTTTTTAGAATTGGAGCCAGGAGGTCAAAAATACCAAATTAAAAAATGTCCTGGCAATGTACAATTTAGTCTTGCAATGTTAAAACATCACCTTGTGACCAGGAAAATATAATGGAGACAGAGAAGAAAATATTAGGGAAAAAGAACATTGGAATACAGAGCAGGAAACAGTAAGACTCCTTTTAGCTTCCCCAATCTTCTTGTTAACACCAGAAGTGGAGCACTTGCTCAAGGATGTCCCCTCCCGCTTATGGTCTCAGTCGAATACAGATACAGGGAAAATATTCTCAGCCATTCCAGTAAAGGTAGAGATAAACCCAAAGAAACCCCTATCCAATCTTAAACACTATCCTCTGCAAAATGAAGCCATAGATGGAACTGCCCCTATCATACAAGATTATCTGAGAAAGGGGCTCATTTTTCCCTGCACAAGCCCGTGCAACAGCCCTATATTCCCTGTAAAGAAACCAAGCAAGAGAGGATGGAAATTTGTGCAGGACTTCAGGGCAATAAACAATATCATAATATCTAGGCACCCAGTAGTCCCCAACCCACAAACCCTTCTATCAGCTATACCCACTACTGGCCAGCATTTCTCAGTTGTGGATCTCTGCAGTGCCTTCTTTAGTATTCCTGTAGATCCAGACAGCCAATATTTGTTTGTCTTTACTTGGAAAGAACGGCAATATACATGGACTGTAGTGCCCCCAAAGGTATACAAAGTCCCACTTACTGTTCCCAAATATTAGAAGCTGATTTCGAGGATTAAATATTTTCCCAGGGCTCAACACTCATCCACTCTCCTTTGTTCAGACACACTCTCTTCCTCTCAGGAAGACAGTCTATATTTTACTCAAACAGCCACCAAGGGACATAAATGTCTAAAGACAAACTTCAGCTATGCTTACCTCAAGTTAAGTATTTGGGGCATATTACCTCATTCAAAGGACTGAGTGTTAACCCTGTTAGAGTGAGAGGGATTTTAGCTTTCCCAATGCCTGTCACTAAGAAACAACTTAGAGGATTTTGGGGCCTGGCAGGCTATTGCAGAAACTGGATACCAAATTGCTCCCTTATGGCTCAGCCTCTGTGTGTATACCTAGTTCCTTTTTTAAAGTATATACACAGAGGTTGAGTCTATCCCATCATGTGAACTCCAGAGGGACAATAAGCTGTACAACAAATAAAGGAAATTCTGACTAATGCCCCAGCCTTAGGGCACCCAAACTACAAATTGCCTTTCTCCCTTTTCGTACACAAAATTGGAGCTACTGGATCCAGGATACTGACCAGAAATGTGGTGATCATCAGAGACCTATAGGCTATTATAGCCAACAGCTGGACCCTGTGGCTTGAGGGCTGCCTCCTGTGTGAGAGCAATAGGGCCCTTCTGTACAAGTCTGTGGAAGAAATAATTATGGATGCTCCCTTACCATTTTTGTGCCACATTCTTGAGACCCTTCTAAACCCTCATCATATACAACATCTGTCTGTCAACCAGTTAGCCTCTTATGAAATTTTGCTTTTATCATCTCCCAATATTACTATTTCCTGCTGGAATAATCTTAATCTGGCCACTCTCTTGCCGGGCCCTTCTGACAAAACCCCTCATGATTGCGTTCCGATGACTGACCGACTTCTCACCCCCAGGACAGACCTCAAGAGATGCCACTGGATAAAGCTGGGAAAGAATGGTATACAGATGGGTCTTATTTAAGAGGAGACAATGGAAATTTTAAAGCAGGATAGGCTGTGGTTTCCTTACTAGCGGTAATTGAATCCAGTCCTCTCCCCAAAGCCAGATCAGTTCAAATGACCGAATTGGTTGCCCTGAGCCAAGCTTGTCACTTGGCAAAAGACAAGGCTGCAAACATTTACACTGACAGCCACTATATGCCTTTTGGGGTTGCTCAAGACTAGAATGCTATGGAAAGAGAGAAGATATTTAACCCCTTCAGAACAACTCATAAAAAATGGACAAGTATCAGAGCTGTTAGAAGCTGTTCTAAAACCAAACATTTGGCAATTATAAAAATCCCAGGTCACTCAAAATTAGACACCACAGAAAGTCGGGGTAGCCAATTTGCTGACGCCACAGCTAAAAGAGCTGTATTCAAGCCATCAGCCCCAAGTTGGATAATGGCCATAAAACCCAAAACACTTAAAAACATGTTGAAAGAAACCCAGAACATAGCTCCTACAAAAGGGAAATCTACTTGGAAACAGGCAGGGGGATACTTGTCTCCTGAAGCTGAAATATGGTGTGGACCTAATTATTCCATTCCAATAAACCCATTATTCCAATGGAATGTCAGGTGCCCCTTATGAAATATGTTCATAATCTAACTCACTGGAATCCAGATAGAAAGATATCCTGGTGTAAACAATATTACTGGAAACCATCCTTCACAGTGGCACAAAAAGTTTACTCTCAGCCGGGTGCGGTGGCTCATGCCTGTAATCCCAGCACTTTGGGAGACCGAGGGAGGCGGATCGCCTGAGGTCAGGAGTTCAACACCAGCCTGGCTAACACAGCAAAACCCCATCTCTACTAAAAATAAAAAAATTAGCTGGGCATGGTGGCGTGTGCCTGTAATCCCAACTACTTGGGAGGCTGAGGCAGAAGAATTACCAGAACCTGGGAGGCGGAGGTTGCAGTAAGCCAAGATCACATCATTGCACTTCAGCCTGGGTGACAAGAGCAAAAACTCCATCTCAAAAACCAACCAACCAAACAAGCAAAAAGTTTACTCTCCATGTGTTATTTGTCCCAAATATAACCCAGGAAAACCCCTCCATGGGGCCCAGGGTCATTTTCCCCTTTCAGCTGGACCTTTCGAGGTATGGCAGCTTGATTATTTTATCCAGCGGCCATTATCTCAAAGTTACATGTATGTTTTAGTAGTGGTTTGCATGTTTTCCCATTGGAAAGGGAAAGCTTTTCTCTGCAGCCTGGCCAACATGGTGAAACTCCATCTCTACTAAAAATACAAGAAAATTAGGTGGGCATGGTGGTGGGCACCTGTAATGCCAGCTACTTGGGAGGCTGAGGCAGGAGAATCGCTTGAACCCAGGAGGTA